TATCATCCGCACACCGTGAGAACTCAGTCTTCAGCTGCTCGTTGGGTTGGCAAAAAAACAATAAAGGATGGGATAAAAGGAATTAGTGAATTCTGGCACTGGCTTGACAACAGAAAAAAAGAAACCGTAAAATGCTCGTGAGAGTGCTTTGATTTAACTGCCATTTTTAGTTAGAAAACTAGCCTATCATGTTGCCAAGTTTACAGAAAAACAAATGCATGCTTTAACCCAAGTCAAGCACTGTGGCATCATTGTTGCCTAAATTTCCTTATCATGTGTGGATGGGGTTTCTAGCATGTAGAATCGCTTAGTTTTTCAGTATATAACTTAGCAGGACTATATCAATTATAGGAAACCATCAAGTTGCCATAAAAAACTATGATCTTGCTAATGTTTAGTGTGCAACTTGCTATGGTGAAATTATTGGATTTGCCTATTTTTTCTTAAAAAATTTAAACATCAGCTGCTATAACTGCCCTAGCAAAAATCCTACCTGTTGCAGGCAGTTGCAAACAAGGGTAAACAAAATGAGTAGAAAACTACAAAGTTGGTTCATGAAGTACTTTTGAACTTGCTACTGTCCAATATACAAATTGCTACGGGCAATGTGTTGGACTTGCCTACTTGTTGACAAAATCTTATACATCAGCTACAAATAGTGACAAGATAACAAAAAAAATGACCACAAAAAACTTTGTACTTGTTTGGACCTTATAATTCAATTGCCTCCTCTATGAGAAGCTAGATTTGCCTAACCTTATGCCTTTTAAAGCAAATAAAATTCAATTACTGAATACAGATGTGATGACAAAAAATAGCTTACCCGCAGTTTCCCATATTCCCCGGGAGCTTTCCTGTCCTTCTTGATAACTCTTGCCATCAAATCTGAATTCCAAACTGAAACCCTTGGTACCAAGCTGGCAATTGGTTCATCAACATCCAAAGAGTCTAGATACAGCAACTGAGTTCCGGATAAGAAAAACATAAAGTTTGAGTTATGATATGATTTTTAAGAAAACATAGAGCACATAGGAAACATACAGATTCAAAAGGTAGGTGGACTTACTACGAGGTGGAAAACACAGCAACAAATGGCCTTCTTGGCACGACCTGATTTGAATGCTAGCTTTAGTTGATCAACCACAAACTGGCATATGTTGGTTTCAGTTATTCCATTTACATCCATGACCACAAGGAAGCTTTTTGGTGAAATGCTTAAACTTGTAGATGGTGCAAGGAAGCAAGAGAAGACAAGAGACAACCATGCGCGTAGGAAGTCGTCATCGTGAGCTCCTGCCATATCTCTGATCATCTTGCACCATGCTGTGAGAGATGGTGAATTCTTTGAAGTGATATTGTAAATCCTGAACATTGCCTTTGTGATCCCAGGGCGGTTTTCGTAATAGACTTTTCTCCCCCTATTTGGCAAACCCCATATCCTCCGAACACTCGCAGCATCTACTGGAATCTTCCCCCTCTCTGGAATAACTATCTGTGACATCTCTGGATCATAATGCTTCATTATCCATTGACTAAGATCGCCAGGCATGCTGTTCGCTGCAAGGTCCATCAGGCCTCCAAACTCTTTTCCAATAATAACACCTTTTTGATTAGAAACCAACTCTTTATTCAATTTGAACAGCCTTGCAGGCGATGCCCTATTCCTACGACCCTATGGGAAAATAGTTTGAAAAACAGAAGAAACAAAAATCAACAAAAATGGAATATGCAAAGCAATTTAGACACCACTACTAGGCAATTGTTTCAATAAGGTGAAGAAGAAAATACCTCGTTTCCTCCGGTTTTCTGCCGCTTTGGATTTGGTGGCTTATCCACACCACCGCTTTTGTCACTCACATTTTCAGCATCTCCGGGAAGACTCTCATTGCTCACAATATCATCAGGGCGCTTCCCTCGGCAGATAATTGCCTTACTCCTCTGGCGCTTGTACCCAACTAACGGTTCACTGCTTTGAGCCTGAGAAATGAAGATAAACACATAAATAACAATCCATAACATGAAGTTATGAAAAAATAAACCAAGAATGAAGATAAGGAAAAAGGTAGAATGTTTCGAAAATGATTTAATGAATTCTGCACACCTCCATCCTACGGGCTTCAGTTGCATGAGATGCGCCATCAACAGGATCCAATGCAGGGGGGCATCCTGTATGCCTTTTTTGCTTGCCCCCGACATGTTTTCGTGCTGCACGTAAAAAAGAACATCATCACACATGAAAAAAAGAAGTAAAAAAACTGCAAATTGCCTAGTGTTCAGCCTAGTCATGTAAACACAGAATGACACACATAAATGCATAATCACATTAAAAAACAAAACTAAAAAACTGATGCAAAAGTGTCAGGCAAACTCATACAGAAAGAAAACATGACATGCTGGCAAAACGGGTAGTCATATAAGGCAACTAGAACTAAAACTAAAGCTGAATTTATTTCTGTTTTGCTATATAAAGTTGGACTAAAGTGTAAAGAAAAACTGAAGCACATCAGACACACTGTTTTTTCAGATCAAGCAACTTGCACCAATGTCGTTTAAAAATTGACACCAATAAACTAGTTCCCTCTATTCTACATCTACCCATGGCCTTATCGCGGGTTGCTTGATCTGAAAGTATTGTTCACACATATAAGAGATAGGAACATATGGACAGACAACATACTACAATGACCCTAATTCAGGTTTTGATACCAACATACAGGTTTTTTCCTGATGCCCAATACTTCATTGAGCAACTTCTGGCAACATATTGAGCAAGTCATTCACCGCAGTGAAGCAAAAAATGAACAAAAAACTACAGAACTTCTGTATGGGCAACTTCAGGAAACATATTGAGCAAGTCGCTCGCAAAACTAGAGCAACTTGACAAAAAAAAGGGGACAAACTACAGAGTTTTAGTGTGGGCAACTTCAGGAAACATATTGAGCAAGTCGCTCTCAACACTATGGCAACAGTACAGCAACACTATAGAAAATGTGAACAAAAACTAAACTACCTTTGTGATAAGCATCCCAAACAACACTTCCCCTTCAACCCAGCATCCCAAAAAACATCCGACAAATTGGCTTCAAACCACCTACATCCAACCAGTAGTGGAATCACCTTGCCAAACAATCCCAAACGTCCACTATCTACTCGTCAACTATCTACTCGTCAATTCGAGACAAGGGCAACAAGCGCAAACGAAAAACGAGGCCAGATCTCCTTACCAAACGATTGCGAAGCAGGGAGATGGTCGTCCTATACGCGACCCTGACCTCTGCGCGAACGGCACGGCGCTCGCAGCGGCCGTTCCTCCCCTGTCGACGACTTGTACTCCGACGACCGTGAGCGGCGCCGCAGCACAGCCTACTTCTCCTCTTCCGGGAACAGGGAACGCAACAGAAGCACCTGGTGCCCGTGCGCCGCTGGCTACCTCCCCCTTGCCGGTAAACTCAGCCCGCACCTGGAGGCCGCACGCGCCGCTGGCTATCGTCCCCCTCGCCAGGAACCGCCGCCCGCACCTGGTCGCCGCGCGCCGCTGGCTACCTCTCCTTCGCCGTGAATGGCCGCCCGCAACTGGCCGTCGCGCGACGCTGGCTACCTCCCCTTCGCCGTGAATAGCTCCACCCCGGCGGGACGAACGGTGGCGGATTTGGGGCAGGGGCAGGAGAGATTGCGGGATTTGGGGCGGAGTGGGTGAACAGTTTCGAAAATGAGGGGAGACGGACGCGAGAGGAGAGGAAGTGGTGGGACCCGGAACCGATGCTCCCACCCAACGGCCGACGGGCTGACCAAGTGAAACGCGCGAGCGAGGAAAAACAGACAGCGGCGCACCTGGTGGGCGTGATCGCGATCGGACGGCGCATAGACGTGTGCGCTCGAGTGCGCTAACGAGCACAACTGCACTTTTTAGGATTTAGGGTAAATTAAATATCGGTGTATTCAAATACTCTCTTCGTCACAGTTTAGAAGGCATAGTTAAATTTACGTGCATTTCCAAAATAGACAAGGTTTAGGGTGCATTGCATTTATTTCTAGTAGCTAAGACTAGTCATAGTGGGGAGGAACTTTGAGCAGTAACATACACGTTATCCTATGCTATGTTACCATCACTATAGTGGGGAGGAACATCATGCAAACATCTATTTATTAGCTTATATACTCATACTGTCTTGGAATATGTGATGTTCCGGTAACTAGCTATGTTACCACCCCTCCCTCTTTCCTCATTAAATGTTTGCCACATCAGCTTTTTGTCCTACGTGGCATTGATGTTACTACTAAGTTCCTCCCCACTATGACTAGCCTAAGTAGTACTCCCATATACTATTCCTATATGCATGCGTAGTGTGAATGCTATTTTTTAGCCCATCTCACAGCCAATAGATAACCACCTAGGTCCCAGAGAATTTCCAAGTGTGCCTTCTAAACCGTGACGGAGGGAGTACACCCAATCCAAGCGCGCCATTACGTGACACAAAATGATGTCTGATACTCAATACTCAGCGATCGGCCCGGGAGCAAAACCTAGCGGCGTCGCCACCAGCCCCCATCCCATCCCTCCCATCCCTCGCTACCGCCGGAGGGCGCCGCCGGGCAAAGCCCATGGGGCGTGGGCGGCGGCGGGGACCTTCTTCCCTCTCGCAAGGCACGTGGGCGGCGCAGACCGACCCTGCCAAGCAGAGGAGCGTGTCTCGGGTGTCGTCGGGTTCCGACGGCTGCTGGATATGGAGGGTGCGACTCGGGCTTCGTCGGGGTTCGGCGGATGGGGGCGGAGCGGTTTGTGACGGTTTTCGTCCAGTTCTCCGTTAATTAACCCAGTAATTCTCTTCTGCTTAATTAATGAATGAGGCAATTAAAAAAAACGATGTATAATCTCGGAGCACAAATTTTGAGACTCTGTAAATCGATACTCCAAGAAAACTTAAAACTCCAGGTAGGCGCCATGACCTATTTATTCACCCAGTAAACGAACAAGCAGTCATGCAGAGCAAGTTCGTCTATCAGGCGCCGCCTATGAACGCGACGACGCGGTCCATGAGCTGCTTGGCGTTCTCGCATCCGGGCTTCTCGAGGAAGAACACATGACCCTCCCCATCGGACCCGTGCCAGGCCGCGGTGCCGCCCCACCCGCTGCAGGCCACGGCGTCGTGGTACGCGCGGTCGCGCGCGGCGAGCCCGTCCGCCAGCCCCGCGGTCACGAGCATCCTCACGCAGCCGAGCCTCTCCAGCGCCGGCGCGCCCGGCGCCAGCGGGTTCATCCTCGGGTCGTCCGCGCCGCCCACCGCGCCTGGGCACGCGTAGGACCAGAGCATCCCGGTGACCATGGGCGCGGCCGGGTGCTCCCCCTCCACCGGCTTGCTCCCGCCGAACCACGGGTGCAGCAGTATCGCGCCCTCGACCCTAGGGCTGCCGTCGTTGGAGGCAGCCCTCATGAGCATGTCGTGGACGATGTTGGCCCCCGCGCTGTCGCCGGCGAGGAACAGGCGGGCCGTGTCGCCGTGCTCGCGGATCCAGTCGTCCTGCGCCGACGCCGCCCACTGAAGCGCGGCCCAGGAGTCGTCGTAGGCTGCGGGGAGAGGGTGCTCCGGGGCCAGGCGGTAGTCGACGGACACCGCGAGGACGCCGGCCGCCGCGGCGAGGGCGTTCACGTAGTTGTGGTACGTGGAGGAGTCGGCCGATTCGATGAGGAAGGAGCCGCCGTGGAAGTAGACGAGGACCGGGAGCTTTGTGGAGGGGTCCTGGAGCTTGGGAAGGTAGAGGCGCACGGAGAGGCCGGTCTCCGCGTCGAGGACGACGTCCTTGGAGGTGACGCCGGTGGCCTCGTCGACGCCGGCGGGGAGGATGGGAGGCCGGTTAAGGCGCTCTATCCTGCCGCTCTTGTAGAAGCGGAAGTGCGCCGGTGCCTCGAACACCACCGTGTCGGCGTCGGCGTCCATGGCCGTGGAGAGTGGAGAAGGTGTTTGCCTTGAGGCTTGGCCTTGGTGTTGTGACTATCAGCTTCGCGAGATCTGTCAGATTTAAATGGCGATAAGGTGCCAAGTCAGCAGCGAACTGAGGAGTGCGCATGGCCACACGTAATTTCTGGCCTGGATCCATTGCCACGAGAATGCAACGATCGGATAATGCATCAATCGAGGCAGTTGATTGTACGATCCGACGGCAATGTATACTCACTCTTTCCTCTTCAAAATAAGAAAAATAGAACCAATATCAGCAAATTAATACTAATTGGCTCGTGTGTGAAACAATCCAATCTAATAATTGTTGAACATAAGAGATTACAAAGTTTGGACGGATTTTACAGTAAAATCACACATGCTTATATACACGCACATAACCTCATTTTTGTAATTGCAATCATGTATAGTTTAGGACTTGAATCCTAGTGGACTGGTTTCATCACAAGAAACACAATCATACCCTTAGTTTGTTGTCAATTTGCTTTTAATCGAATCAAGTAAGCATCAACCCGTCATCACTAAAGTAACAAGGCATCATAGTGTCAAAAAAGGTAACAAGACATCATGAAAAGAAAACACGAGGAATGTTTCTTACCGGCTTGACTTGCACATGATTCAAACAAAGTTCTGGGATAAATAAAATTGGAAGATTTCCACCACCTCAACCTCTAGCGCGACAAAAACATCCCCAATTAATAAAATGAATATCTAGTTAGAGAGCAATATCCACAATTTGTTCAACCTGGCAATGGAGAGTATACTCACAATTTTTCTCTTCATAGAAATATCGAAAAAGGCTTCCGCCTCGCTTTATAAATAAAGCCATAACTATTATAGATGAAACGTCTGCAGCGTCGTCGTCCTCGGCCTGACAAGATCAAGCACGGCATTTACACCCCCTCTGCCGCTCACCAACCAACCCGGGAGAGCATCACTGCACAGATAACCACACCCGATGCAACTTGGCTAAAGAATACCTCCCGCAGCCTACCCGTATGACACCGATCCCAGCAGCCCCCTGATCCTGGGATGACCTCGCACACCAAGCCGACTATAGTCTAAAAGAGGCCAAGGTCCCATCAAGGTGAGTTGTCAACGACAAGAAGCTCCTAGGGGAACCTTGGTACCGAATTCGGATGAGCACCACTGAAGAAGCGTCGTGGACGAATGACACAGCAATGGGAAGGATGTCGAATGATCTCGGGAGGATGGATGGGAAGCAACGCCTCCGAGGAGGGGAAGGACATCTGTAGACGTCATCGTTGCCAGCAACGATAGAGGCCTTGCGCAACTTTCGCTGAACCGTCCTCCCCAGGGCACTGCAACGAGACCATTATGTCGAGAAAGAACGAGTCCACAGCGCGACGCCCTGAGAACACCGCTTGTCCATGACCAGCCATTCAGCCAAAGCCGTCTCGGGCCCCAGAATGGCGACGAAACCACGACCGGATGAGCGGATTCCGGCTACCCTGACCCTTTGGTCACGGCCAATCGCCTCGCACACGACCCCAAGCTGCAAAGAACTGGGCAGTTGGCCCTCCGACAGCAAGTCCCCGTCACATGTCCAACAAAGGTGGACACCGGCGCCCAGACCGAGCCCACCTTGGGAAGATGGTGGCGGCCACAGGGCCACGAGCCCATGTGAAAGGATCGATATAGTTGACTAGAGAGGGGGAGGGTGAATAAGCAACTAACACTTTTTAACTTTTCTTTACCAAATTAAACTTTGCATCAAAGTAGGTTGTCTAGATATGCAACTAGATGAGCAACCTATATGATGCAACAACAACAAGCACACAAGCAAGCAAGGGATACAACACAAATAAGCTTGCACAAGTAAAGGCACGAGATAACCAAGAGTGGAGCCGGTGAAGACGAGGATGTGTTACCGAAGTTCGTTCCTTTTGAGGGGAAGTACGTGATATGTCTCCGTCGTATCTATAATTTTTGATTGTTCGATACCAATATTCATCAACTTTCATATACTTTTGGCAACTTTTTATACTATTTTTGGGACTAACATATTGATCCAGTGCCCAATGCCAGTTCATGTCTGTTGCATGTTTTATATTTCGCAGAAAACCAATATCAAACAGAATCCAAACGGGATAAAAACGGACGGAGAATTATTTTGGAATATTTGGGATTTTCCGGAGGAAGAATCAACGCGAAACAGTGTCCGAGGTGGCCACAACACAGGAGGGCGCGCCCACCCCCCGGTTGCGCCCTGGACTCTTGTGGGCCACCCGTAAGGCGGTTGATGCCCTTCTTTTGCCGCAAGAAAGCTAATTTTACGAGAAAAATCTGGGCGAAAGATTCACCCCAATTGGAGTTACGGATCTCCAGATATAAAGGAAATGGTGAAGGGGAAGAAACAGAGAACGCAGAAACAGAGAGATAGATCCAATCTCGGAGGGGCTCTCGCCCCTCCCAAGCCATGGGAGCCAAGGACCAGAGGGGAAACCCTTCTCCCATCTAGGGAGGAGGTCAAGGAAGAAGAAGAAGAAGGGGGCCTCTCTCCCCCTTGCTTCCGGTGGCGCCGGAGCGCTGCCGGGGGCCATCATCATCACCGCGATCTTCACCAACACCGCCGTCATCTTCACCAACATCTCCATCACCTCCCCCCTTCTATATACAGTGGTCCACTCTCCCGCAACCCGATGTACCCTCTACTTGAACATGGTGCTTTATGCTTCATATTATTTTCCAATTATGTGTTGCCATCATATGATGTCTGAGTAGATTTTCGTTGTCCTATTGGTGGTTGATGAATTACTATGATTGATTTAATTTGCTTGTGGTTATGTTGCTGTCCTTTGGTGCCTATCATATGAGCGCGCGCGTGGATCACACTATAGGGTTAGTTGTATGTTGATAGGACTATGTATTGGAGGGCAAGAGTGACAGAAGCTTCAGCCTAGCATAGAAATTGATACATACGGGATTGAAGGGGGACCAATATATCTTAATGCTATGGTTGGGTTTTACCTTAATGAACGTTAGTAGTTGCGGACTGCTTGCTGATAGTTCCAATCATAAGTGCATAGAATTCCAAGTCAAGGATGACATGCTAGCAGTGGCCTCTTCCACATAAAACTTGCTATCGGTCTAGTAAAGTAGTCAATTGCTTAGGGACAATTCCACCACTCCAACCACCACTTTCCCACACTCGCTTTATTTACTTTACTGCATATTTATATAAACAGCCCCTACTTTTTACGCGTTCTTTATTATCTTGCAAACCTATCCTATCACACCTACAAAGTACTTCTAGTTTCATACTTGTTCTAGGTAAAGCGAACGTCAAGCGTGCGTAGAGTCGTATCAGTGGCCGATAGGACTTGAGACAGTATTTGTTCTACCGTTATCTCCTCATTGGGTTCGACACTCTTACTTATCGAAAGAGGCTACAACTATCCCGTATACTTGCGGGTTATCAAGACCTTTTTCTGACGCCGTTGCCGGGGAGTCATAGCGTGGGGTGAATATTCTCGTGTGTGCTTGTTTCCTTTATCACTAAGTAATTTTTATTTTCTGTTCTTAGTTGTTCTCTATCTTTAGTTATGGATATGGAACACAAAATACCAAAAAAATTAGATGTACTTGCTACTCATGTAGATGGGGTAACTCCTAAAACCTCCGATTCTCATTATGTGAAAGATATTATGTACTACTTTGATAATCCTGAGAAAACCCCATTCAACTTTATAATGGGAGACACGTTGGATCAACGTGAATACTTTAGGGATTATTGCTCGACACAAAAAGGGAAACTATTATGGGATCAATTTATTATGTTGCATTGGTATGCCCGGGATCTATGCTTGAGATATGATATTACTTGTTGCTCTAGGATGAAGGCACCACACCTTCCCTTTTCATGCAAAATTTAATGATAATGAAACCTTAGCTTCTTATGCTAATGGTATATATGATTACTATGGTATTGAACAAATAGAAGAATTTGTTGCTTTTAAGGCTGCTTATGAAATTGAATCTTTGTTTGAAAAGTATGAAGCTTTTGATGATGATGGTGTTTATAGGCCGGAAAATCTTGCTATACTTAGATATTGCTATGAAAATTATGAATACAATTACTATATTAATGCATTTATGAAGAAAGTCAACGCTGTCCAAGAAGAGACTAATATTTTGCAGGAAGCTATGGAAGAAGAAATTCATGAAACAGTGAGCTCATTGGATGAAAAAGATGATGAGGAGAGCGAAGAACAAAAGGAGGAAGAGCGGATTAGCTACCCGTGCCCACCTTCTAATGAGAGTAACCCTCCAACTCATACATTATTTAATTCCCCTTTGTGCTTACCGAAGGATGATTGCTATGATCCCTTGAAATTGTTTGAAATATCCCTTTTTGATGATGCTTGCTATGCTTGTGGCCAAGATGCCAATATGAATTATGCTTATGGAGATGAACTTGCTATAGTTCCTTATGTTAAACATGAAATTGTTGCTATTGCACCCACACATGATAGTCCTATTATCTTTTTGAATTCTCCCTACTACACTTTATCGGAGAAGTTTGTGCTTATTAAGGATTATATTGATGGGTTGCCTTTTACCATTGCACATGATGATTTTGATAGATATAATATGCATGTGATTACTGCTTCTACTTGCAATTATTATGAGAGGGGAACTACATCTCCGCCTCTTTATGTTTCCAATACGATAGAATTGCAAGAAACTGTTTATATTATGCATTGGCCTTTAATTTGTGTGCATGAATTGTTGTTTTATGACATGCCGATGCATAGGAAGAGAGTTAGACTTCGTTGTTGCATGATATATGTTACTTTGTGCTCACTACTAAATTACAAATCATTGTTAATTAAAATTGGCTTTGATATACCTTGAGATCCGGGTGGATTCATTACTTGAGCACTAAATGCCTAGCTTAATGGCTTTAAAAAAAGCGCTGCCAGGGAGACAACCCGGAAGTTTTAGAGAGTCATTTATTCCTGTTGAGTGCTTTTATATAGTTTAAAAACAAAAAAATAAAGAGGGGAACACAAAAACTTTTCAAAAAGGAAAGTGAAAGTGAGAGAGACAAGCATTGTTGAAGTGGGGGAGCTCCTTGAACTTCGTTCATGCTCACGGAAACTTTGTGAATCTTGATTACAGAAAGTTTTCATCAAAAATAATTATCC